AGACCGATGAGCTCCAGAACGCCAGCTTGACCCTCTTCGACAAGATGCACAAGGCTAATGCCGAGCAGCAGTCTCAGTCCGGCGAGGCCAACCAGGGCGAGAACAAGGCCTAAATGTACCACAACTGATTGGCCCTGTTCCTGCAAAGGTTCATGGTTGTTTGATTCCCTGTACCTCTCCTATATCCTCTTTCTTGTCTCATCTAGAGATTTCTCTCTTCACCATTGTTTTAACACGCATATGATATGTATACATACCAATAGTTTTTGATTTCTATGCCCTCTGCTCGGTGTATGGGTGTTTGTTTTCTCGTTTGTACTGGAACCGGTTGCCTTCATACCTTTTTGGGTCGGATGAGCATACTTGAAATGTTTCTTTTTCTGTTTGTTGGGAGGCAGTCCTTGACGGATTCGAGGATTGTCTACACTTGTAACTTTAATGACATTTAACGGCTGGGGACCACGCAAAAAGGGTTTATCCGGAGCATGTGTTAATAGAACAGGAAATTCTCCTCTCGATTCAACAAAGTCTTACTTTTTTCATTTCTTCCTATATCAAGATCTTGAGTAGGCGGCGTTTTACGCTGAAACCAAGCTTGTCTGAACTGGATAGCTTCCTTGTGTCCAAAACACCTAGAGTCGGAGTTCACAATTTCCCTGCCCCATCTACATTCTGGTCAGAATTCTCCAAGTGGGCCGAGGGTGCACGCGTTCAACGGAGTAGTGTATCCTCCTTGATGGTGACCAGTGTCGCCGCTATTTTCTCATTTCGTTTTCTGTTCTTTGTTAGTCCAGAATACCTGCATTCGGAGTTGGTATTCCTCTGGGTTTCCATATTTCCTGTTCTTGGTTCTCTGAATCCAGGATTTGTCCACACCATGCTAGCCAACTGTCCCTACATGCATATACATAGTACAGAAAATAATATATGTATGTACATAGTACATCCATTCGAACCACGAGTAATATGCAAAAGAAAAGAAAAAAAAAAAGCCCAAAAATCAAAAGAAATCAAAAAATAAAAAATAAAAACCCCTACATTAACGCAAGCGGTATAGTGTCCTCGAACTAAACGCGAGTGAAGCAGATTGGACCCAACCTTTGGGACACACATTTCGTGTTGTCCTTTGCCAGCTGGTCACTAGTTTGGGGATGATCGCAGGGCCATTTTAATTAAAATCAGTATTTTAGCCCGGTGGGTATCGAATCAGAATCAGAATTTCAATGCTAAGGCAAGACACACACACCCACACCATTCTGTTGCTCAAGTCCGCCATTCCATTGTTTAGTTAGAATGGGGTTTTTTCTCTTCTTAGCTCGTTATCTTAGTTAGTTAGTTAGTTGGTTGGTTGGTGGGCTTTATTATTAATTGCTTTGGACTTGGCGATTGAAGATGAGTAAAGTAGGTTGAGTAATTAACGTGCCATCTTTGATAACTACTAGTATTTATCATGAGGTTGATTGTGAGCCGAGGATAAAGAAGATTGAAGCTCTCACCGATAGAAGAGGTAAAAAAGGGTAGAAACAAGAAAGAAAATTTATCAAATCAAAGATACCCCATTGTTGACGGGTATGTTCCAATAGTAGTGGAATTCCTTGCATGGGGTGAGGGTATATATCGATCTCTGCCTTGGAATTCTACACTATATTAATCCACAATATGTAATCTTGTTCTGGTTTTTTATTTATTGTTCTGACCCGAATCCTCAGACAGGGAGAGAAAGAGAAGAGAGAGGAGAGGAGGGGGGAAGCCACACACCCCCCGGGTTTGGTCAAAATAATAATAATAATAAATCAGGAAAGAATTTTTCTTATTGGAATGTTAAAAGGGGGGGGGGGGGGGGTGTGGGCTTGACACAACTGCAGTGTGTGTGTATGTGTATGTGTGGATTGTGATACACATGGTGGAGCAAGGTATGCAGGATTGACAATACTTTTTGGACTTATCAAACCACTTGTTTATACTCTGGATAAACTATGCTAATATAGTTCAATGGTTGAATAAGCTGGCCAGAACCGCCGCCTGTGGTGTTTGGCCAAGTTGCTCCCCAAATATGGGGTAGGCTCATGATTATCCCAGCGGCGTTATTATAACGGGGGGATGTTATAGGTTGGTTAGTGTTAGGTAGTCAGTTATCAAGGGTTGGGACGGGGCCAATCGATCACTTTCGCTCCCTATAATAATGCATATTATGGATGTTGGTGGAGGAGGAGGAGACGACGACGACTACGGAGTACGGTGCTGCTGATGGTGTATATCCTTTAGCTGTACCCTCTTATCCGGCTTTACACAGGGCTCCACCAAGAGACTTGCAGCAGCAGTTGCAGTCGAGAAACAAATCAACGTTGTACACAACTGCAGTCAGGAGCTCACACCAAGGGTGCAAAGACTTGTCCTCGATAGAGGGAAGGGATAAGTGGGTTTTCTACGGTGTACTCTTTTTCATTTTCGATCTGGAGGGGAAACTGAGGGGAGGATACGGAGTAACTACTTACTCTTCAAGAGATTCCCGAAAGGAAAAGAAAGGATCGACCGCCCATACCCTAACCCAAAGACAACAGAGGAGACGAAGGGATTGTACTCCGTACCTGACCCAGAATCTTACAATTATCACTTTTAATCAAATTAAAAATAACTGTCATTTCCTGAATCCAAGGATTCCAACGATGAATCTCTGGGTCGTGACCCATGGACAAGAAAGGAAGACTCACTTTCTTTTGTGTCTGGCCGCACATCCTGGCTCTCCCTGATTTGCTGATCACTTTTGTCTTGCTCCATACGGAGTCTGAATCTCCAGTTGGACTTTTCTGGGTTTTCCCCACTTAGTTAATACTCATTACCAGATGGCCTTTTTCATCCCTTAAGGAACAGGTAACTTGTTTTTCTCCCGTGACCTTTTTTTTTTCTTTTATTTTTTTTTTTTTTTGTTCCAGGTAGGGACATTGTTGCCACATTTCCGCCCTTTTTTCAAAACTCACCCCCAGGAGGTTTCATCTGTAGTATTAGATAGTATTCTGTGGCAGGACAATCCGGGAGTGACGACTACTACTAGCACTAGGTACCAGGTTAGTAGCACTGCTTCCTCGTAGGTGAACAAGACTATGGAATCCACTGGTGATCACGCATTACACAATCCACTAATTTTCCATGATCTTCCACATCCCTCCTCATTTAACCATGTTACATATAGGTAGTAGATCATTGCGCCCTGATTGGCCCGCCCCAGCTAAAAATAAAATAACATGTTAGAAAAAATTGTTGTCCGTCTTTTTCCTTCAGTCCTGTGGGAAAGGGAAGAACGCCTCGAAGGTTGGGTTACGAATTCGTCAGTGAGATTCTCCCGTTTCCAGGAGATCAATGGAATTTTGATATGTGGATTTGGGCACCGTGAGTGTTTCTGCTTTGGATTGGATCGAATCGAAGCCGAATTGTGTGTGGCTGATCTTTTTTAGTATGGGATTTTTCTTTTCTTGCTTTGGGTCGGTGTCGCGCGTCCTGTACCCTATGTTTCTAGTACATAGTACATCTCAGATCCTAGACTGGGGGTGATAAATTAAAAAAACTATACATCAATGAGTTGATTGTGTTTGTCACTAGTGTGACAGTAGTGGGTTTTTATTCGGAGGGGGTCCAACAGAACACAGCACATTGGATGATTGGGGGGGGGCAAAACACTTGGTATTACCCAGGTAATTGATCCAATGTAATCATAATCAGAATGGGAGGAGATGAGAAGAAAAACAGAAAAAAAAAAGAAAAAAGGAAAAAAGAAAAAAATGGAAGATGGGAAAAATCCATCTAGAAAAACATAAAATTCTTGTGAGATGAAGGAAGAATTCTTCACAAAGACCCTGAAGTGATTTGTTGATATCCAAGTGCTGAAGAACTGGAGAATAGAATTATTCTCATGAATCTGCATTTCTTGTGCTACCCTCCCCCCTTTCAGCCCATGTAAGGCTGTTGATGTAAATTGACAATTATTACTACATCTGATACTTGGAGCTCAACTCGATCCATGGACTTGTTTGTTTGGAACTGACCGCAAAAGTCAAAACGGGGTTCAAACTACTAGTATACTAAGTTAGTTTAGTGAACTAGAGCTGTCCCAATTGAAAGCGCCATTATTATTATTTTCTTCTTTTTCTTGCCCTCGCTCTCTTTCTCTTTTTTCTTAGCCTCTTGCTTTTTATTTTTTATTTTTTATTTATTTATTTATTTATTTTTTTTTTACCTTTTTTCTTGACTCAACCTTTTTCATAAATCAAAACAGTTTAGAGGAAAAGAAAAGAAAAACAAAACCAGATAAACTTTTACCATCATCAATTAGCATTACCGCCTATTTATCATCGGCGGTCTTGACTTCCAATCCGTTGAATCCCTTGCTTAACCGTTACCACTTCTTCAACTTTGACTGGGTGACAAGACCACCACTGAAAGGGTCCACGGGAAATTTCCTGGTCACTGTACTTTTCTTGAGGGGGAAAAAACGGGCAGAGTGCAGCGCGCTAGCGGTTTGTTTCTCTTCTTCCTGCTCTTGGGGAAGTACTTTCTTTTACTGTGTTCGACCTTCTATTGCTGCAAGTGTAAGTTTTGATTCTTATTCGAGTACTTCGGGGTTTCCTTGTCGAATCCCTGCCTGTCGCTCATACTCCTCTGACACTAGCATTGGCTTTTGTTTCTGCCCTCTTATCTATCATTCTTAGCCCTCTTATATTCAACCCTTCTGCACCCTACATTCTGTCACTGCTGGACCGTTTTTTTCCCTTTTCCTTTGGCTTTGCCTCCTCCTCCTTCCGCCCCTGCTTTGAATATTTTGTCTCATTTTGTTTTGTTTTATATTGTTTATACTTTTCTTTCTACATCGTTCACTGTTCATTCTCTCATCTGACTTCGCCCGCTACACCACCCACTCTACTTACATGGTGCATACTCCCGGATAAAAGAAAAAGTAAAACAGAATACCATTTCGCTAACCCTGCTTGCTTCTCCAGTTGTCCATCATGACAGTTGCTGCACCGCCTGTGGCACCCGTTCACGAAAATGGTATGAACGGCAGTGCCCCCGGGCACCACCATGTCAACATGAGCTTGCCACGTTTCCACCCAATCGCAATGAATCCGAGCCAACCAGTGCATCCTGAGCAAATGATGCCAAATCATTCTCACTTCCGTCCTTTTCCTCCACCTCATCCTATGCAAGAAGCGGGCCCACCAGGCCCGGCTCCTCATCCTCCTTCTCATATAGATCAGATTGATGCTCGCTTGAGGCAATTGGAACATGAAGAAGCAGCTCGTATGGCTGCTCGTAGCCACCTTCTTGCTATTCGAAAGCGGGAAGACGAAGAATTTCGTAGGATGACTGAGAGTGCTGAAGCCGAAGAAGAGGTATGCTATAAGACATGATGATTGACTCGATCACCCGCTAGATATAAGTCTGACATGGGGAATTGCCCGCACCATAGGAACTTCGTAGGCAACGGAAACGACTGAAGCGAGAATCTATGGGATTGGGGTATAATGCAAGCATGGACTCTCCGCCACTGCGGCCGACGCCGCCACGTCGTTTGTCCGAGACCAATGCAGCTACCACCCTTGCATTCTTCAAGCAGCAAAGTCCTCCAGAGCCTCGTGCCATCCCTCCACCGCCTGTACAGGCACCGCCGTCTCATCCTCCCCCTCAGCATATTTCTCATGACCCTACTGCCGGCACAATTCGACGAAAGCAAAAATACACCATTAAGAATGTCGAGGCCTGGGGGGAACGCCACGGACGACCTGCGGCACACGACCCATCCGGACGCGCGTTGTGGAAGCGACCATCAGATGGTAGTTTAGTGTATCTGACCTGCCCCGTTTCCGGCTGTGGAAAGGCAGACTTTGTGACGCTACATGGCTTTATGTGCCATTTGACAAAGAAGCATAAAGATCGCAGTCTGGGGAGCCAATCAAGGGCGTTGGAAGTTTGCGGGATTGTCTATGACCCTAATGCACCCCTTCCGCCGGTGTCCACTGTACAGCGTGCGTCGACCGAAGAAAGTCGCGGTGACTCGGCCCCTACAGACCCTGAAGGTTACCCACAAGAGATGGACTACTCTTCCGCTTCGGATGACGAGGAGAGCCGGAAGAATCCCGTGAAAACAGAGACGGCAGATCGGACTTTACCCGTACCGACGGTCCCCTTCCCGCACCCTGAGGAGCCATCGAAAGCACGGAAGCTCAATAATTCTACAAAACAGTCGATATCCTCGATAATTGATCGTGATCCCGAGGATGAGCCCCGGGAGCGTTTAGTTTCCATTCCCCCTCGCCCCGTCGAGCCTTTATCGCGAGCCTCTCCGGAGCAAAAGCCCTCTATTCCCAATGAAGCCGAGGTGTCTCGGCCCGATGAACGAAATCAGGAACCAAATGAGTCAAAGGAGACCGCCGAGTCAAAATAATACAATCGATCTTATTTCTTTCCTAATACGGTCTGTTGCGCTATTAAGATACGCAGAACTTGCATTTGCATCCTACGAGCACGCTTTAGCTTTTGACACCTTTGCAGCTGCGTGAATACCCTTCTATGCATTCCTGGGTGGCTTTGTCTACTTCTTATGTCAATTCTCTTCGAGTAATGTAATGTCTTTTCCATCATTGCTGGTCATTCTGTTCTGGGGCGCTGGTCGACTTGCGTCTATTCGTTTCCTGTGTCAATTTTGCTTTAACATAGTGGATACCTACGATATAAACCGATCTATAACTATGACCCGTGTGACTTTTGTGGGTCACCAAGAAAACCCTGTGGTGGTGCTCGCGTGCATCTCTTTTATGTTACTTAATGGATCTCGCGAAGCCCGTTCGTGGCTCATTGCATAATTGCAACAGATCCTTGATCGTGGCCAAAAGCAAATAAATCAATATATCATGTTCATGCCTTAAACACACTTTCCATCTGCTCAGGATGACCCGTGACTAGACTAGAGGTTGGCCTGAACTTTCGAAGAGCTGCTTACGCACAGTACTAGTTTCGCTACAGGACAGGCACATCGCCATCGACTACATGGAACCCACCAGTCATCACCTCCAGATCCCTATACCTATACACCTCGCAGCCATGACCGGCACCCCGTCTATCACATCTCACCTTGCGTTCCTTCTCAAAATCTTCACCGACCCCCATCCTTCAACACCAACACATGCACCAAATACCCTGACCCCGACGCCAACTTGCTCCCCAACACCTCATCACTAACCCTCCAAACCCGAAACTCCCTCATCGTCTCCCTCAACCAAGCCTCAAACACCTCGGGTGACCGCTGCTGCTGCGCAATCACACAAACCGTCGGCTTGTTCTCCTCCCGCAACTCCCCGCCAGGAGCATAAACAGCCCTCAGCCGACAAACATCGGCACACGTGCGTACAAACGGCGCAATCAAGGCGTCATTATAGATACAGTCACAGGAAATCAGCACATCAAACCCGCGATCCGTGTTCCCGTCACTAGCAGGAACACTATCCTTCAACGTGGCGGGATCATCCGTTTCCCAATCCAGGGTGGTGAAGGTGATGTTTGTGGTGGACTTTTGTGATGCTTTGTTGTTGGCGCCCTGCTTACCGGGTTTCCGGTTGCTGGCCTTGGACTTGGGGTGTGGTTGCTTCGGGGCGTTGGACTCGAGATTGGAGCGCAGCAGGCGATGCACGTATTCTTGGTCTGTGGCTATGTAGTGCGTGATTGTGGGGGAGAGGGCCAGGGCTATGAGGCCTGAGATTCCGCAGCCGAGTTCAAGCGCTGTCGAGGTTGGGGTCAGGATCGTGTTGGTCCAGAGCGGGTTGGATTGCGTTGTTATCCATCTGCGAAGAGGGGGTGGATTTCCAGAGGACTGGGGGTGGATTGTTAGCTCATTGGATGGCGGTGGTGATTGATAGAGAATGTAGACGGATGGATGTAGATAGAGTAGGTAAAGATGTCCAGGGGTCGGAATGGGATATTAGTAGACTCATAAAACGAAGCCATGTGAACGTGATAGCCAAGGGAGGGTGGGGAAGGAAAAGAGAGATTCACCTGCACCAGTCGTGCCACCCGCGCGCGACGACGACAACAGCGTTGGAGATTGGTTAATGGTATAGTCCTGTCCGTGGATGGTTACATCGACAGATGTTGCTCGTGAATCGACGAAGCCCAGATTGGCCGAGGGAATGTCTTGCGCGAAGAGAAGGAAGCATTCTAACAAGGATGTGAAATTAACTAAATGCGCGCCGGGCTATTTGGTGGTGTTCTTTTTTTGTCTTAGGTTTTCGGTTGATCTGAGAGCATAGTCTACACGAGGGCTACGGATTGAAGAGAAACGCAGGGAACGGTGTGTGTGTATGTGGGTGAGAATGTTGTGAAAACATACCCTCTTCGGCATCTTCGACCTCTTCGCCGATAGATGTCAGGAAGCTGGTGAGTTCTTCCATCGGGTAGCTGTGTCGGTGCTCTAAAGTAAGGTTAGGAGGATCCTGAGACTCCGTTTAGATCGGAGGCTCGAGCTTCTAGGGTTCGGATAGCTCTAGTTAGTTAGGACCGGGGGGGAGGAAACTGCTTCCGCGTCTGTCGGGAAGGTAAAATGTCTCTCAAAGCTACAGTAGCCTCATTAGCAGGTCTGGACTGTTTTTTTTTGTCTTGTGATGATACGCAGGATTTCCCCTGTAGCACCATGTATCGCGCCGATCGGAATAGAAGCGACAGCTGAGCAGAGGGGATAAAGCATGTACCTTATTAGGGTTGAGTCGGGATAGCAGCCGATTGATCTACCGTTCTCCGTACTTTTTCTTTGTTTTCTTTTTTTTTTTTTTTTTTTTCGGGAAGAGATTTAACGGGAGTCGAGAGGCATTGTTACTAGTGAGGTAGTCCATTGTTCATTAGTTTGTTTGCTCGATGACAGCCGAGGAACTTTTGGAGCAGACGTTAATTGGTACCCTTGATGATTGGCCGATGCGGGACCCACTGGTTGGATATGGGCAGGGAAAAAAGTGGTGCGTAATGAATGCACCCGGTGCAGGCTCTTATGAACTCGTTAGCTTTGGTTATGCGTGATAGTGTTGCTACTACTCTACAGAGGCGAATTCTGCAATGGGAGTTTTTCTCTAGTAATAAGGCCGTGAAGTATACTTTGACTCAAGACGGAGATCCTCGAGTGTTGGGCGATTTTCCCAACAAAATACGGATTAAAGCTTCCCCCGAAGCTCCGGCCGTATACTCTGTCCAGGAGCATTGGCGGCTGATTTGTCTATGAATCGGCTTCAAAGATGGAACCAAAGGGACGGCTTCGGTACGAGAATGGTTTGTCCACAGTCTCGGCCATTATCAGAAGCCTGGGGGGTTCTGATGGTCTGAACCGCGGTAAGGGGCGAAGAGAAGAGAGAGAAAGTTCCGAGCAACCTTGTCAATTAAAGATTTAGCCGTAGTTTAGTCGATTTTGATTACTATGGAGACCGTTTTTTTTGAGGTCTGTGTGGCATCAGGGGGCTTGTTGTGTCTCGTGTTTTCGGCAGGGTTGCAAGCATATGGGAAGGAGAAGTAGCAGACTCAAGATAAAGGGAGGGGGTCTAAGGGAGAACAATGGAATAAAGGATTGTAGATTCCCCCCTGCTGGTGTACACATCCGATAGTACCGTACGTGAAGAAAGCGACTGGATCGAAAGCTGAGACAGGAACGTAGTTCCGTTCACGTCATTGGAGTGCTCAGACCGCCTTGGACCAATGCCCAGCCGCAAAAGTCTCGCTCTGACTTCATCCCGGTCAAGCTTCATCTTGAGCTGCTCCCTCCTCGTTCCTTCTCCTCTCCTCTCTTCTCTCTCGTATTCCTTCCCCCGCATTCCTTTATCTTTCTCTCTCATCTGACCTCCTCTCCGAATCATTCCCACGCACTCCCTCCCACTCTCTGCTTGACTATTCGGGAGTGAAGAGTCGCCCGGTGTGCTCCTGTACAGTCGTACTAACGACTTAATATTCTCCGTAAGTTGTTGTTTTGAGTTCTGCCACTCTGGAGCGATCCGTGGGTTCCTGTTATTCGCACGTTTTTCGTCCGACTGCGAACACCTCAGATCTTCTTCCTCGGTAATCGGCCAACTAATTACTTAAAACACAGTTACCTTTTCCTCCCAACTTCTCTCCCTTTGTATCTATACCCCCGTATTCTCGTAATTCGCCGCCAAGATGTCCCTACAAAACGCTCATCTTCAACCGCGCATTTCCAAGAAGCCCCCCTTTTCAGTGGAGGTTCCTGGCGTTGAGGCGGTGCCGGGAGAGACTATCCCCCGTCGACTGCCGGCGGCAAAGGATGGACTCATCGTGATACCTGTGGAGGGTGTCAAAACCACCTACGATGTCTTCCGCCGCTCTGCGCGCGTGTTCGGTAACGCAAAGGCTGTCGCAAGCCGCCGCTTGATCAAGACTCACGAGGAGAACAAGAAGGTCAAGAAGGTCATTGATGGCGTCGAAAAGGAGGTCGACAAGAAGTGGACATACTTCGAGATGAGCCTTACAGCTACAAGAGCTTCGTCGAGTACGAGCAAGTGGCTCTCCAACTTGGTGCAGGTCTGAAGAAGCTTGGACTCGAGACGGGAGACAAAATCCATCTTTACGGTGCAACAAGGTGAGTGTGTAGTTTGACTCAGTCGACATGTATTTCATTTGGTCAATCGACTAACACGGATTCTCAGTGAAAACTGGCTGGCCATGTCACACGGTTCGTTACAGTTGCCTTGCGCGCGACGGTGTTCTATATACTAATTCTGAGCAGGAGCTGCATCCCAGTCGTTGACTATCGTTACCGCCTATGACACCCTCGGAGAGGATGGGTTAAAACACTCCCTCGTTCAAACATCCAGCGTTGCCATGTTCTGCGATCCCAGTCTCATTCCCTCAGTGGCCAATGTACTAAAGGACGTTAAGTCGATCAAGCATATCATCTGGAACTCGCACCTGGCACCTAAGCAGGCGGACCTGGAAAGGCTGAAGACTGAATACGCGGACATCAATCTCATCAGCTTCGAGGATCTCCGGACATTGGGTGAACAGAATCCGGTGGAACCTGTCCCACCATCTCCTGAAGATCTCTGCTGCATCATGTACACCTCCGGATCTACCGGCCCACCGAAGGGTGTTCCCCTTACCCACGGAAACGTCATCGCTGCAAGTAAGCTAACCCCACTGTTTGCACCCTGCTATTCCCAAACTAATGTCGAGTAGCCGCCGGTATCAATACAATTGTCGGTCCATACATTGGGCCCTCCGATGCTCTGTTGACATACCTCCCCCAATCGCATATCCTTGAGTTTATGTTCGAGAACCTCTGTCTAATCTGGGGTGGTACCATGGGTTATGGAAACCCACGGACGTTGTCGGACGCTTCGATGCGTAACTGCAAGGGTGACATTCGTGAATTCAAGCCTACCATTCTTGTCGGTGTGCCCGCTGTGTGGGAATCAGTGAAGAAGGGTGTGCTTAACAACTTGAACAAGAACAACTTCATTGTGAGAAGCATGTTCTGGGGTGCTATGGCCGCCAAGAACTTTTTGATGACGACTGGATTCCCTGGCCACGGTGTGGGCTCTTCGTTACTGGATGCTGTCGTCTTCAAGAAGTTGAAGGAGGCGACTGGTGGCCGGTTGCGCATCATGATGAACGGTGGTGGCCCAATCTCGAAGGATACCCAAAAGTTCCTGTCGATGGCGATTGCCCCAATGATCAGCGGATATGGTCTCACCGAAACCTCGGCTATGGGTGCTCTGAATGACCCGATGGCCTGGAATCCGGACGCCCTCGGTGAAATCCCTGCTTCCATTGAAGTGAAACTCGTAGACTTCGCTGATGCCGGATATTTCACGAAGAGTAACCCCCCACAAGGAGAGATCTTCATCCGTGGAGGCAGTGTGAGCAAAGGCTACTGGGACAATGAGGAGGAAACCAAGGCTGCCTATACCGAGGATGGGTGGTTCATGACCGGTGATATCGGCGAATTTGATAAGAACGGCCATCTTAAGATCATTGACCGCAAGAAGAACCTCGTCAAGACGCAAAACGGTGAATACATCGCTCTCGAAAAGCTCGAATCTGTCTACCGCTCCTCTCCCCTTGTGGGCAACATTTGCGTCTATGCCGCTCAGGATCAGGACAAGCCTATTGCTATCATTGTCCCGGTTGAGGCCGCTTTGAAGAAGCTCGCCCACGAGAATGGCATTGAGGGCGACACGCTGGAGACGCTGGTTCATAACGAGAAGCTGAAGGGGATTGTTCTCAAGCAGCTCCAGACTGCTGGCCGTGCAGGCGGTCTCAAGGGCATTGAGATTATCAACGGTGTGGTGTTGTCTGACGAAGAATGGACCCCCCAGAATGTAAGTTATCGCTGCTTTCTCTTGAGCGCAATCATATCACTAACTTGTTCTAGGGATACATGACCGCCGCTCAGAAGCTCCAGCGCAAGAAGATCGTCGGTCACTTCCAAAAAGACATCGACCGTGCTTACGCCAAAAATTAAATCACGGAGTCTCTGACGTTATGCTAAAGTCGGATAAGCCATAATCATATATATCTCTTAGTTTCTTCCGGTGTCTGGTTAATTTTGATATGTACTGCATTGCCAGTTCGGATTGTGAATTTTCTTGTTTTCCTGTCTAAGCTGTCTATTTCCTTCGTGTTTCTTTCTTGTTCAAATATCCCATAGGACGGCGATTGAAAATGTGTCTACGTTATCTTCGCGTTAGCAAAGAGCATAATGAATTGGAGATGATTAAATGCATGACCGTCCTAGCAACTAATACGGTGTCAGTGTATATCTACTTTTATCAGTAGGAATTGACAGCAGTACTATGAAATATCATTCGATGATATGACAACTTGAAGGTTTTCTACTGACTATAATGGAAGTTAGTGCACCTATAAGGCAAGGGACTATAAACCAACGCTCCCTAACCATAAGTGAAGCCGGAAATACTATTAACCATATACGCCACGGCTCAAGTAGCCCTAATCCACGGAGCAATGTACATGAGGACATATCGCCACAGTGACTTAGACGAACAATTTGATCCCAATCAGGGAGGGCACCAAATCTTTTCCCCTGATAGTCCAGCAGGCCTACAGATGTTCAAACAAGGCTTCGACACTTTCCCGCAAACCTATATCGATACTATCGGTGAGGAAAAAAAGAATAGGGCTGAAAGCCCATTCGCGACATTCCGGCGTAACAGTTGATGAATTCGAGGGAGAGGAATGAACCAAGGACAGGATTTATTTATAATTAAGCCCAAATCAATAGCCGGTAAGTCTTTGCAGCCCTAAAACGCGGTAATATAATGTAGGTATAAGCCATAATTGTACAATCCGACGGCTGTGCTCCGAGATGGCGCCAGTTCGGCAGCGTGAAAGCACCTCGACATAAAAGGGGACGGTCAGCGAATATACTGTGCCTGTTCTGATTTAAGCTCGTTGTCACCATTTCATTGAAAAGCCTTATCCATACTGCCTTGATGAGATGATACTTCCTTCCCATACAGATGGAAGAACGGTCTCTGTCAATCTACGTGATAGTACAAGCGTCTTTTGTTTCTGTTCCTTTCTTTACTTGACTTTCCTTGGCTTATAAGGCTAGGGGTGGCATCACCCGTTGTGATAACTCGCGCATTATGTTGTATAGAATAGTACTATTCGATACCCGATCTCTGGGTAGTATTTGGATTGGAAACGAATGTTATGCCAGAGCGGATATAGACATGTCCTGACTCCTAAGGGAGCTAGCTCAAGTGATTTCACTGGCATTTATAAAGGTGAATCTGGGCATGGCTGTTAGTCTTATTGTCCTAGTAGTGTATATGGTCTCGAAACATACGCCTTTATTCCAAGTGTCTGTCTCACCGGAATCTGTACATGTAGACTAGATAGCAGCAGTCAGCAGGCAATCACCGCAAGATATTCAATCGTTGAGTTTCATCTGCTTACCCCACCAGGGCATTCGCATTCACCGCTTGGACTTGGCTTGAAGTCATCCATTGGCCAATCGGTGGTATAACGGCAAATCTACGTATAGTAGCAGAATGTTAGCCTAGATAGCCAAAGGCATATACCAAGACGAAGTGAATATGATTTAAACGCAATAGTCACGCACCTCACCGGAGTTACAGGTACTAAGCTTTGCAGCTAAGGTTGGAGCAAGGGTAGCAAGAAGGAAGGTAATGGGTATGAAAAGACGCATGATGAAAGAACTGAGTTATACTCCGGTCAGACAAGTGTAGTAAGTAAAAGCCTTGAGTTGGAAACTATTGAAAAAAGCAGGATCAAGGACATGAATTTATACATTGGGAAGTAGTTAATGGATAGTACATAAAAGCAAACATAAAGTCAGGTGTTACAATTACATATTCTTAACATCGGCCACATTTTGGTGAGGTCATAGCTGAGAACTTGCATAAACAGCACTGAGGAACTAGTAGTTATATACTTTCTGCAGGTAGTTCATCGGCAGCTACTAATACGAACGTCTTTCCAATGTAGTCCATGGCTACTAGCAAGGTGGGTCTGTTGGCGATCCTGCGTGTTACAGACCTATAGCGAGGCTCGATTTGCATTTATCTACATAGAGATGGATGTAAACCAGGAGAAGTCTCCACTAATTATTTCAATAGCGTCATATATATACAGTTGCACAGATACCTATCATATACCGGCCCTTGCCTTTTTTTTGTTTCTCTCTCAAAAGTCTTGAATAGCCAGCGTTCAGTTGATGCATATGGAATATCTAACGTATTTCTTAATCAAATACAAGCTTCTGCTAGGCTTCCAGATAATAAAGCCTATCAGCAGCAACCTCAGCGTCTCATTCAGCAAACAATCTCTTGGGAACTGAGGAACCTCTTTTTGTCACCTTGCAATGGAGCATCGTCACATATGGCACAAATGTCATATGCCAGAGAAAATACTGTTTTTACCTCCTATGCCAGCGATGGCTATTCCCAATACCTGAATAATGGATATAGTTTACTATTGTACGAATTCACAATATCGTAAAGAATCAATTACCTGTTCCATACAATGTGGCTGGAATCAACCCCATGAATGATCTACACCAAAAGTATGGAATATCATATGGAGAGATTCAGTAGATGCGGGAGGCATTCTTTCATTATGAACACTACGACATGGTTCTCTAGCCCTAATGTATCAAGAGGCGCGATAGAAAAGGAAGCTTAGGCTTTGGACTTTACCTCGGTACTTTGCAATGAGACAACTCTGGTGTCCACGGGACTATGATCCATTTCATATGCGAAATAACTATGAACATTGGGGCCAAGTAATTCCCTGGGACTATAGAAGGCTAGGGTCATATTTTCGAACCTACCGTGGTATCGACGAGGCCAATATGGCAGAGCGCAGCATTCATGCGCAAGCGAGAATTGGAAAGACTGACTTATAATGCCACCCAAGGCTTTGCACTTTGGCAGAAGTTCCAATTTATCCATGCGGATTACAGTGACTTTATTACAGATGATTGAAATATATCGTAGGTATCTCAATGGGCGTTTTTAAAGTGAAGAGAGAAAGTAACTGCATGAGTCTATGTGATTCACTGATATACAAGTGCTTTTATAGGCGGGAAGAAACCACCAGGACCCTTTCCTTCTGTCCTATCCCCAACAAGCTCATTATTGGGCCACTTGTTAGCCCAAGACAAGACAGCTGTTCGTCTTCTCGACAAGATCCATTTGGCGGTGTCACGGGCATCATAGTATATCTGGGGAAAGCTAGGCTTCTGGCGAAATCAGACAGCCATTTGTGTTTGAGAGATCTACGTCAATATTGCAGTATCTTTCTGTTCCAGATTCGAGCATAGCTGGGCGCAGTACTGAGTTATAACAGTTCTCATGGTCAAAAACACTAAAGTCAGTATCACGCTCAAGGAGAAGTTTGGTGGGGATCAAGCCCTAAGCAAAGTATTGCAGAGACCAGGAATGGAGGCACGCCGCATTCAACAATGAGCAGGGATGTGTATTTGAATTTGGCTTGGCTTAAACCAAAACCATTACACTAATATTTGACCTCTGAGTGGCAGATGTGCATACACTGGGGGCCCAATCGATCTCTCTTATGCGGAACTTGAATCCATCGCGTACGTGTTTTGGGCCTTCTTTCTGCTGGGGTTAAACGGCCCCATACTGTATCCCAAAGGCGACAACAGTATTTAAAGAAGGGATAGGTACGGTTATTTTCGCACTCGTTTAATTTCTTTCTGCACATCACCAGTCTTGCAGATCAAGTGCTTAACTAGTATTATGGTCTATCATGACTCCTATATTTATATGGGTGTTGAGATCCTTCGACGACATCATTTGGTGCTGTACTCGTCTCTCGAGGAGAACTTGCTCGCATTTGCTCAAAAAGCCTTCATAAGCAGGGTTTGGACTAAGCCTATTATTGATCCTTGGAGTCCGATATTGAAGGGCTTGATTTCTAAAGTTACATATATCTCATTCCTATCTCATGGAATCTTTCAAGGCGATACTTCCTTTCGGTATGGCACAGTACTGTTTACCAAGCGTTCCTGAAATATTTTTTAGGTCATTTTGCTAACAGACCGTCAGATACTATATGATATCCCAGCACTATACTGGTATCTTCCGGACTGTGGCTGGGATTGATGATCGCGACGTAGCGTATCTTTAGGGAGAGTGGGAAGATGTGCTAATCGAGGACCTGACGGCCAATGGTGCCCTTTGAGATGGCTGCAGTAGATTACATAGGACCCTCCTACCCAGCTTTAAAGTCCGGAAAGCGCTATATAATAGCGGCTATTGACTACTACTCACGGTTTGCTGCAGCGGAACCGACCACAGATACCAGAACAAATATTTCCTTCGATTTCCTTAAAAAGATACCTCGCTACTTCGCGAGAACGACTGAACCTATCGAAGTAGAGGGTTAGACAATACCGAAGATGTACTAATCTATAATAACTACTTTAATCACAAAGTATCCTGGCGACCCGCTGTTGGGCTCTAAGGTAGAGATCGGGAGCTTAGAGTACACTGCCAGGTACCCTAACACAGGCTAACTGATTCGATTCTATGAGTTGATACTGGCTAATCAAGCTGCCCTGAACTTCACATGTTGAGCTATAACCTCGACCACTTTATCATCCGTGACCATGCACCTGCGCCCTCGACGCAGGAAGTTAATACTGAAAGTTCTTGAATCCAACAGCATTCTGTCTTTGGTCTCTTGTTCCTCATGAAAGCCCTGAGAGGAAAAAGCGTTGATCTTTCGCCATCACCTCGACTGGGCGTAGAAGATTCTATTGAGAACTTGCTATCAATGAACCTCGAGACTTGCAAGCAGAAATAAACAGAAGAGCCTCCGAGATGACAGTCTATGCAGAGATGGTAACTAGATTGACTCTACTGGATCGAATACAAGCACATACCGACTCAATCCGGATCTCTATTCAAGAATTGGCGACGTACGTTCTGTAGTAAATCCATTGACTCCACCGTCACCTGGATTTGTTTTCTCCTCTCTTCCCACCCTCAACCGTCTCTTCTTCTTTCTCCTTGATCATCTCTTCTGACACCCAAGAAACTGCAGAAACCGTTGCAGAGGATGAGTCAACTAAATCGCCGAGGGGAGCCAGACCTATATCCTATGCTGTCGCAAGATGAAACTCTCAACTTGGTTCGAGGCTGCCCTTATATCACGGTAGTCGATGCATGCAAATTCTGTCTATCAATTGCTTGACAGGTGTAAGCCACTGAAGCAGGACCAGTTTAACATGGCACGTGGTGTAAACTGCACACGCCCTCTGCTCATTGTGTGTTCGTCGTTTACCAATCGTTATGAGATCACGACACCAGGAAATTGGCAGTAGGGTGACAGAATGTGTCGTCGATGATGAAAAGAGCTTCTACCGGTCTGTCCATGCTTTCACAAACTGCGACAGGGTCGCGGTGAAATCCAGGGACTTGCAAAAGATAATTTATGAGCATGAACACCTGCCTTAGGGGCGAAGTGTTAACTTGGTAGAAAAATAAGCTAGATGATCTGTTCCGCATCTGTCTTCTATACACTACTGATATCGAACTGTGATGCGGAGCCCTAGAGCGACGCTGTCGACCTCCCCTCCACTACGGTAGAGGAGCAGTGAGACCGACTATGATATACCGTCCAGGATGTACGGCAAAGGAAGCACCCATATATCGTGACTAGATAGCCTCATCAGCTCTTGAAACCACAGAAGAGCGACTTCTTTAGAGACCGTGCTGCTAAATTTTGGAAGACTTCGGTAACCAGCTTGGTAGAAGTAAACATGCCGGTATTCTGTCGCTGACGGCAGGTAACTGTGTTCAACAGGGAAATCGAGTAACGGATATCTCCAATGCCCAGCCTAAAGAACTGAAAACGAAGAGATTGACGTCTCTAAACAAGCCCGATGACCATGCATCAGAACATGTCATGGTTCAACCAGCTTGTTGTGTCATTAAAGCTACCTAAACTCTCCCACACCAAGAGATTCGCAGATCTGTGCTTCGTTAGCTCTATTTTCTAGATTCAGAAGTTTTAATCTCAAAATTCTACAGTCAAATCTTGGCAAACAGCTTGTAGGACTCGCCCATTTTATAGATCGACCTGTGAATGATGAAGCATGTGGCCTAAAGTGACGAAACTAATGTCATCGTAGAAGACTAAGGGACGCTCTGAGAATAAACAACCAGTGTAAGAAATGATGCTGATGCATCAAAAACCTACGGTGAGCATGAAACCGAACAGACAACGAGATTTTTTACCGTCGAAATATATGCAGGCCAGTATACTGCCCGTTATGTGGTCATTATAGAAAGTATCAGGAATCAATGGGCCTCCGAACAATGATAACTCTTACAGGCAAGGTCACATTCATTGTACACAGGCATTGAGCCCTAACAACCAGGTTTCAGGATCTCATTGTTTACCTTTCACATCCGCTTTGATAGTTGAAGAACATAGGCTCACACCCATATCAAGAGTGATACAATGACGAACATGTTTCCTCCATTGAAGAGAAAGGTATGAAAGACCCAGGATTGAAATGAACCATGCATTTCGTGTCCTTTCTTTCTGTCCTATTTTCATCCCTTCTATCAATCGGTTCTCTCCATATATCCCCCAAACCACCTCTACACTCCCCCAACCCTAGACCCAGAAGTACACCTACCAAACCCCCAATCATGCCAAATCCCCAAATCACCACACCAAGCAACCCCCCAAAGAACAGAAAGAAAGAAAGGAAGGAAAAATGCCCCCGCACAAAATCTTCCTCATCCCCGAAATCCTCGAACAAATCCTGCTCCAAACCCACCCACAAACCCTCCTAACCGCCGCCCAACGCACCTCCCAGACCTGGCACACACTGATAACCACATCTTCCAAGCTCCAAGAAGCCCTCTTCTTCAGGCCCCAGAAACCCCCTACAACCCCCACAACCCACCGCACCCTAAACCCCCTCCTCACCCCCAAAATCTGGCCGCACCTCTTCCGCAAACGTCTCAACTCCCAACTAGCAGCAACAGCAACAACGACAACAACAGCAACAACAACAACAACCACAAACTACGGCTACAGTCTACCCCCCGCGGACCCCCTCGAAGAAGAACTCTACCTGCGGCCCAACGCCAGCTGGCGCCGCATGCTCGTGCAGCAGCCGCCGACCTCGTCCATCAGCGTCTTCGTCATGCACCGCGCGTGGATATCCTGCGACGACGACGACGACGACGACGACGACGTGGCTCCGGCGAAGGTCTTCAAGGCCGAGGTGGAGTTTCTGACGCTGGGCCATCTGCACTGGTCGGCTGTTGTGGGCGGGTGTCTGTTGCCGTTGGAGAGGGTATGCTGTTTCTGGGACTTTGCGGATTATTATACGGCGAAGGATGAAGCGTGGCGCAAGGAGATCGAGTTGGCGTTGAAGTCGGTAGAGGGTACTTGTGATTTGGTGGTTTTTACGGGCAGTAATTGGGATCTTTGGAGGGTGTTGAGTGGGGGTGGGGATTGTTGATCTTCCTTACTCTCTCTTTCTTCTTGGGGTTGGGATTGGGGTTGTTTTGCTGGTTCTGGGTGGTTGGGTGTGGGTGGTTTGAGGGCTGGCATGTGTAGAGTATATGATCTAGTGGATTTGGTATCTCTTAGGGTGGTGTGGACTGCTGTGTGTGTGTGTGTGTGTGTGTGTGTGTGTGTGTGTGTGTGTGTGTGTGTGTGTGTGTGTGT